CCAATTCATTCACAAGTACATCTTCCCCAACGGGTATTTGCCGAGTCCCAAGTTGCTGGTGAAATACGCCGAAAGCAAATTCGTCGTCGAGGACATGCAGAACTTTGGCGTGGACTACATGCGCACTCTGCAAGTTTGGCACAAGCGATTCAAGGCGTGTGTGGCCAAGGGGGTCTTTGACCCGGAGAAGCAAGACGAGACCTTTGTTCGGATGTGGGAATTTTACCTTTTATACTGTACAGGCGCGTTCAAGGCGAGGATTACCCACCTTTACCAGGTCGTGTACTCGAAGAAACGACCTGAGATTTACATCGCTCCTCGGTGATTTGTTAATTACCGAAACTTATAGGTTGACATTCCGAAGCGATTAATTTCCCTAGATTTGATCCTACAGTAAATCATAAAGATCATTCCTTCGGACTTCAGCTCATGACATCAAGAAAGGGCGTCAGACGGATGGTTAACAAGCTTCACCAGTAACTCAAAATGAAATACGAAAGGATTAAAATCCATAACAAATGCATACAATTTGAAATTATTCTAACGGTCGTCTGATCATAAAAAATGCATTGAAAAAAATCTGTATATCTTTCGGGGATGGCTTAAAAGCTTTGTTAGTACCGAAGTGTCCCTTGAAATAAAGCACAAGGCGATTAAAATTCCTCTCTCAAATAACGCATTATTCCTTCATGCGTTCAAGCTTTGAAAAGTTGATTGCATGAGAGATCAATATATGCCAAAAAATGGTCCATAAAACTTTTCCAGGACTTTCAAATCAATTACGGTACGTGTATTTTACTTCAGGCGCATAATTTTTTTTTTTTTTTTACTGTATACCGGTCTATGACAACTATCGCCACATCAGGAAGCCCTGTTCATTTGCTTAGGAGTTTTTTATTATTTTAAAATTTGCACCTTTTCTTGACACGCAAATGCATCAGGTAAAGCTATGACATTTTATTTTGCTCCATTTCTGTGAAAGTGGGGCGAAAAATAAAAATGCAAAGCTATCTAAAAGGCTTAAAAAAAACAGCGCGTTTAGCAGTTGGTTCTAACATGGAACAAATCTGAAGATGACTGCGTAAGCATTTTCTGAATCAATATTTCAATAAACTTCCTACCTCACAAGCATTTATCAAGTGCAAATGATTGTTTCAGAAATTTCAGAAGAAAAACGACGATATTTTCGTGGGTTTTTCTGAAACACTCTCAAATTTGAAACAGGACGCGTGAGTTCAACAGTTCATGATTCTCGCAAATTGTATATTTTCCGATGACCTAGCTCTGTTGAATTCAACGCCCATAAATCATCAATACGTATTTGAAATATCTTATGCAATAACTGTGTACGTCAGGTAGTTCATGAACTACATTTTCTGAGCGTTCGTGTGATGGTTCGGAAGGTCGGGAAAGAGGTGTTTTGTTTGAGTGGGAAAGGTGACATGAAATATTGTACCGTGCTTCTTATTTCGTCGTGAATGATTCGTAAGTCGATGATGTCGCACTTCCTTGATTTCGTCAGGCTTTTGCGAGATTTTTTTTTTAGGGTTGACAAGAGAATCTGGTGAATATACGTAGACAAATCGTCGCATTTCCTCATCATTTTTTCGCCACGTGATCGTAGGAAGAAAGCATCTGAAATTCCATCCATATAGGGAAAAAATAAACCATAGATGATTTTCTCATTCAGGAGGATTCACGCGATCGGGTTGTTCGGCGAACCTTGCAAGAAAGTCTGCCTTGATGACTTTCATGTGCGAAAAAAGTGCAATCTGATCGCAATTCGCCCGCATCCAGGAATGATTCGACGTTGAACGCTCTGGAGAACAAGAAGGTTAATGGCATGAAACTGCTGTTTCCAGAAGAAAGACAGACTGAAAAACAACCGAGAGGAAAAGCATATATACCCAGCCGTGACTAGAACAAAACTTCTAGCTTCATACCAAGTAGAGTAATGTAAATATAATTTTTTTCGCATTTTACTTACATCAGAACAAAGTTGGCATAAAAAGGAGACCCAAACGGTCCTAAATAAACACACGATGTGTATTCATACTCTATATGCCCTTGCGCAGTATCAAAGAAACATACGCATCTCCCCTCCAAAATTACTCAATTACAGTAAAGTAATCCAATAACTAATTAACAATGTGCATCACTTAAAATGCAGGGAGATCACATGTTTCCAGGTCGGAATTAAAAATGCAAAAACTTTTTGTTGTGCAAAGAACCCATCGCATTGGGTCACAAGGAAATTCTCTCTACATCGAGTTTTTCTGGTCCCCTGAATCACATTGCACGGAAAGTCTTCCTGTGTGTATCAAAATTTGGGTGAAGTTTTTTATGGGCACCTTTCAGTTCCGCAAATATTCTTCACGGTAAAATATATTCTTCTAAACGATTGTGAGAAACAGCTCAAACCAATGTTGAAGATGTTGAATTTGTCCTTAATTTCAACGCACTAGAAAAAATTAAAAGCGTCGAATCATTTCCAAATTTTTGAGATAAGGGTTACGTTGGGGAGTTCTTTCGATTTCTGCACTTCAGTTCACTTTTGATGGTTTGTAATCACTCAAAATCAGATAACAAAATTGAGTGCCTGCTTTTTGTGTCAGTGTATCAAGCATCTATTAGAGAGCAAGATGGTAGTGTGGAACCTTAGTAAAAAGATCAATAATCCTCTAGATTCTAAAATTGTAGACTGTAAATATGTTCTTGATCAATCCCCAAGATTTGCAGGCTCATTGTGCAAGATTCCCCGTTTGCTTCAAAATAAAGGTATTCGAATTAACATTTAAATTATTCACGCTGCCCCTTTAAAGTTTCGGGACCATAAAACCAAAACTGGGCTCATGCAGTACCAATCAGTGCAACCCTATTCACTGTGACTACTGAATAATGTATTAGCCAGATCCCAGATGAACATCCGTTACAACTGATAGAAAAGAAGACAGTCATCGATAAGTAATGGAACCTTTCCGGATGCATTTTTATTGCTTTTTTTCCAATGCAAGTGAAAACAATATTCACCGCTTTTGACAGGTTTACACATATTGTTGTCAGGGAAAAGCGGTTCAAGGCAGAAGCACGCCCATTACACAGGCTTCAATTAGAGAATAAAACTTTTTAAACTTTCTGTGAGGTGTCGGATGGTAACTGATTTCTTTCCTCGGCAATATTTCGAAGTTTACAGTAATCATTACAATATCCTCTAGGTCAGTGGTTTACAGGGTTAACCTAAATCTTTCAAGTCACACTGAGTACGACAATTTCTCACAGAAACCTATTCATCAGCGACCCAATCCCCAGGGGATAACGGCAACCATACGTTCTAACGGGTTCTGGACAGGCAGCAAGTACTGTACTTCTTTGATAAGAACGTGTAAGCGGACCGAATATAATTCAGGACGCCATCCTCATCATCATCTTTTGAATTCCCACTCTTTTTCTTTTACAGTTAAATGGTATAAAAAATAATTCAAGAAAATGCGTGTAATCCAATGACACATGTATGTGACAGCTGTTTTTCTCAAAACTGGGAAATATTGTACGGTATATACAGGTGGTACCTTGCAATTTGCCCATAATCCATTGCCATACTAGGGTCAAATTGTGAAGTTGACGCATTGCAAAACATTTTGTGAAATTCAAAAATATCAATGCAAAAGCACAAAAAATGGCCAAAGCAGGTCAAATTGTGGGGCAAGGGTCAAATTTTGAGTCAACCTCCCTGCAAAGTCAACTGTAAAATTTCACGATGGTAAAATTGTGATATACCACCAGTATACCACGACGTCAGAATCCTTTTGAGAGCTTCCATATGTTTCTTACAAATGAAAGAACATATTTACAGGAATTTAAATGGCCTGCTATGATCAGCATTTTTCGACAAAATCATGCTTTAACTTCAATCGATTCCTTTTTAGAATGGCATACTGCAAAGTTGACACATGATAAGCACATGCTGTGTCACGTAATAAGGATTTTAACTATAAGAAAAATATGCATAATTAAAAATACGATGAAATACTACTTCATTGAAATTTCATGCATTATAGTTGACATGCCTATTGATTTAATCAACTCCACGTAACCTCTGATGAGCATAAAATGACTTCACAGGGTTGAAACAATTCTGTTAATGCACAGATGTCGCTCTTTGTATTTTTAAAGCGTGAAGCACCGCACAGGTTCGACACTGCTGTCTTCGCGAGTGGATATAACGGCCCTCCCTTGCTTGTTTTCTTTTTACTCAGTAATGATAAAAAAATAACGCCTGAAATCTTTGATTTATCATAAAATAAACGAGCTACATGCTCCATTGAGCAAAAGAAAAATCTGAGAACTGCAATTAATCGTTTACGAACTCTTCGCAGTGCAGATTCAGCCCAAGCGGACTGCCAAAAATAAGTGCCAATATAGCCACGAATCAAATCGTCCATCTCAGAAACTGTTCACCTAAATAAAAAATCGAAAATTTCAGGGAATAACGAATGTTTCTGGTCAAATCGTGATGAGAAGGCTGTTTGTGTTCGAGATGACGACGCATAAATACCGCCTCCTTTGACGAGTTAAGTAGCTCAATTCCATTTTTGGCTCGTCAAGAAGATCAAAGCAACCACAAGGCGTGGATAATTGCCCTGAAAGTACTGTTGGTAAATACTGTAAAATGTCTCCGTCACAAAAGTTCCGCAACAGATCGTGATTTGCACATTACCTGGAGCAGGTCGTTGACTTGAACCGATGGCGAAGGTCCGAATTTCTTTTTAATTTTTGCAAAAGGAATCAGTTTTCTTTCGTTTCGTCTCGTGCATTTGCTTCAACAAAGGGAACTAGTGTTTGTACATCAAACACATTTCAACTTTTCTCCACACACACACAATGGCATTGACAGCATCGTAGAAAGGTTGAAGGCTCTCTTTCTGTCTCTTCGTGGACATTCTTGAACCACAAAAAAAGTAAGAAACACATTTTTGTAGTTTGAAACGAGTTTTCTCAGGCTTACGCAGCGAATACCGAAAATACACGAATTAGTTTCAACCCATTTCATTTTTCTGCGAGGGGAAAAAAAGTGTTCTCTCTAAACCGAAAATGTACTATAGACTCAAGATGTGCAAGTAATTCTATTGAAGAAACGAATGCTGCAAAAATTCTTGACAGGCAGTACCTCCTAAAAATTCCATTTTGGTTATCAAATGCAAAAACATGTTTTTATAGTCAACTTAAAGAATTTTCTGACCAATTTTCATTGAAAGTATCATTGTGATAAAAATTGCCGGACGCTTCCCATGATTTGAAATGCGCATTATTTCTGTCTCGATGATACTTTGTGGAAAAAATAGCATTCGTATAAGTGCACCTTTATGACTTTTTGGCTTCGTGCATGTCTATAGGAGAAAAACGATTTTACGACGCAACCTATTTTTTCTTTAAGTCAGTATTCGCATACATGAGGTACTCGAGAGAAAGTTGACGAGAAAAGCAAAAACTGGAAAAATATTGCTGTTCTCGAGAAAAAAATAAAACAACAACCTATTTTCGGAGTAAGTTTGTTATATTGTAGGAAGAAAGGTATTAGTCTGTGAAAAACCGTAAGAAAAGGTCGACGATGTCTGCTGTGCGCCTGCCTTATAAAACCAGCGGAAGTAACTTTTTTTTCATATCACATTTCGAAAGCCTACTTTTTTCACGGCTTGGAGCAACGCGAATTTTTTTTCTTTTCGAAAACTAGGCATTCTGGGGAAAAAGAGATTCTTCCGTTTCAATCAGCTGACCCACCAATGCGGATCTCTGCGTGTAATAACCGCTAACTAGCTAGTTAAGAAAAAGAACAACTAGGAGTTGCTCGCGTAGAACAGCATCTAAAGGAAAGCCGGTTACACACGCCCTGTAGATGCCTTTTTAGTTTGCGTATGTGTAAGTATCGAAATACAACAATGACAAAGTCTAGATGGATTTTGTTGCTGTCAAAATTGATTGAAAATTTAAAATAAAAAGGTGAATTAAATGATAGTAAATACTCGCAACAAGCGTATTCAAGAGTATCAAGACTCATTCATCCAGCTTCATTCATCTTGGGTATACAGTTATGTATAATTAAAAATGCGAGGAATGATTTTCTCGCTAATCGTGACATTTACGAAAAAAATACATCTTACAGTATTTCATCTCAAAATATCTTTATGAGATGGATGAAATCTAGTACTGTATAGACGAAATGTGAAATAGGATGAATAAGGGGAAACACTGGGCTATATAAATCTTCATCACACCGGAATATCGGGGGAAATCACATGACATACTTTTTACATTAACGAAAAACGGTATTTCAATCTTGGCGGCATTCCACTTTGTAAATGATGCAGTATTTTTTGCGTAATAAAACGTTTTTGCCAATACATCAAAGTGAGATCAGGCTTGAGAAAAAACAGCCGATGAAATCAATCGACAATTGAAAGTATTCCATCGAGAAAGTGCGGAATTCCAGCTGATGATATTAAAAATTCAGACCATTAAAAATTGCTACTGCTTGTAAAATAAATTAATGCATATTTAAACAATGATTTATAATTTTAAAATTCCCGACACTTTCTGATTTTATTTTGAATTCATTCAGTTTTGAATATCTTTTCATTTAAGATTGCCAAACTACGTCTACTACAGACGCGTTAGCCGAAATGAATATTGAAATTCTAATGCAGTACTGTACTCAAAAATAATAATTCCGCTGTTGAAAAGACCCGTTGATGAATCTATCTTAATATAATCTTGAACTCTACTTATTCCGCCGAGTGGATTCTTTGGCGTACTTTAATTGATGACATAACTGTGGGACAGAGCAATTAGCGTAATTTGCATTCATTATACGTACCCGTGGAAAAGACGACCGCATTTCATGGGCTTCTTCTCCCCGATGAACGACCGCATCAGTGCAACCGGCATGTCGCGGTGCCGCAACGAACCGAATCCAACCCGCAAACCAACACTATGCAGAACACGAGAACAGAACAACTTTTAATTGCAAAAAAGAAAAAAAATACTCTACTGTAATTTTAATTATCGTACTTAAAGAGAAGCCAAACATTTTAATTGCACATAAACAAAACAAAAATTGCAAATACATTAAAAAAGCAAAAATTTTAAATACACAAAAGCAGAACAAAAATCGCAACTATGCAAAAACAAATTTAATTACTGCAGTTTAAATATATTGATTAATGCATCATCATCGGGACACCTCATCTCCACAAAGATTCTTTCTGAATTTTTCAATCAATTTATGGTTACTGTATATGGGAACAGTCTGAACACCTTACTGTACAGTACTGTACTTTAATTTTTGCTTAGCAATTGCATCATTGTTCTATAACTGTTGTTGAAAACAAAATTGATGGCAATTAATTTTTGTACATTTGTATGTACTGTGGTGTATTTTCATTTGGGTGGATGTGTTTGGGGGGGGGGGAGGGTATAAATTCTTTTTTACCTTACAGTATTGTGAACAGTCACAAGCGGCAAATTATGCGCATACTGTACATCAATGAATCAAAAGCAGGAAACAAAAATAATGAATAGACAACAATTCAAATGCAGCGAAATGATCCGTCAAGCAGGACTTATTGGATAAAAACATCTTTATACGCGAAGTGGCAGAATATACCCTTGCTGCGGGTACTGATGTGATGTGACTGGAATGCTGTTTTAATCATTTAATTTGTTTTTATAAAATTTAAAATTATCAACGAAGAGAAAATGCGTATTCAGGAGCATTTTCCATCTAGCTCCGGACACAGGAAAAATGCGACCGCAATTTCTTTTTTGTCCGTGTCTGCGTAGGTATACAACTGCATGCGTCAAATTTTCTCCAATCCGTGAGAACTCGTAATTTTCTTCAAAATCTCAAGCACAGTGGAGACAATTCAAAAATAACGGACTTCATCTGTGAATCCCGTTTTTTTTTGTGCGTTTCAAATCTTAAAACAGTAAAAATAATTGACGGGTTTTTATACCCACGTCAGAAAATCACACAAGCCAACCCGGAAATTAAAATAAGCATTCCGCTATAAAAAAGGAAATCATTGAAGTTTAACGCTGAGGAAGACTGTTCAACAATTTTTTACAGCACTCAAAGTCTCAAATTAAAATGGAAGTTTACTACCAGAGCAGCGTACTTTCTCATTAAAAAAAAAACACTGTACAGTATTAAGAAGATTTTCGTATCAAAGTCCACCCTCAATTAAATGCCATCCATATATATTGAGGTTGCACCGAATTTATGATCATTCGTAGTATTTCCGAGACATTAAAAGAAAACAATGCAAAGTCATGCTTAAAATTTTAACAAAGCCAGTTTTCTTCTTTCAAAATTAATATGCAAGAATTAAACAGAGTTCTTTCACTGTACATAAATCTGTAAGCAAACAAGCGAATCAAACGAAAGTTTTCTTCCAAAAAACTACACCTCCGTTGTGGAACGAAAATGAGAAAGGATTAGTAGCGTTACACAATCATAAATTTTCAGACATTTCTTGGTAATTATCGTCAATGTCTCAATGAATCTCCAAAAGAAAAAAAAGGGTCATGAATGCAGTGCCAAATCAAGAAAAATTCCGCATTGAACCCTGCGATGCTCATAGATACTGTATCAGCTTTCATCTGGCCATATAAGGCGATTATTCACCCATCACGCCCGAATCTTCAGACTGGATCAGACACGGTCTCGAAGCAAATGCACCAAAACCGATCGTCCGGAACCCTGTTTGCTTATCGCATCAAAAAAATGGAAGAAAAAGTATATATCTTTATATATATATACAGTATACACTAAATGAGTAAAAAGGAAACAAGGCCACTGAGGCAGAAACCGGGTCACTCGCCCCAAGAGCTGCGATTCGCGCGATAGATAATAAGACGATGACGCGAGCGGATCTGGGGGAGGAAGAACCGCGTCCAACAGTTACGCCGTTTCCTGGCTGAGGTCTGCATGGCTCGCGGACGCACTGACCGGAACGCGGGTTTTTTCTCACAACGGTCACACGCGTTTGCCGAGTTTCATTTTATTCTATTCTATTTTATTTCATTTTATTTTATTTGCTTTAAGTACAATTAAGCCCTCTCCCTCCCCATGCACCCTCTCTGCTTGAGAATTACGGTACATGAGAAAAAGGAGTGCCTCGAAAAAAGCACTCCTCGTTTCACGATGCACTTTTGACGTAGAAAAGGATTTTTATCGGCTGTGTGAATTTTTTGATTTTTCTTTTTCGGTGAAAAATGAAAAGACTTCCCTTGCTTTGAAAATAAGATGAAGGGAATACAATTTAACAGCGGAAATATCAAGTCATTGCGCTGAATGACTACGTATTTATCTTTTATGTTTTGTAATTACTTAAATAGTTTTTAGTCACTTATTGAGTTAGTCACTTTTGGTGTGATTTGAATGCTGTGGGATGTCTGAAGGAAATTGCACGAATTCAAAACATATACGATTTACAAAAATTTTTATCAACTGTTTCCTTGTGAGATCTTTACCTTTCAATTTTTCACTTTTGAATACAGTATTTATTTGGAGGACGGGAAGTCTAGAAAAATATGGTAATCTTATTTTATTATGGGCAACTGTAGTACAATGTATTTTCAAAACCTTACAGTTAACTTCAGGTAAAAAAAGGAATATTTTTAAGGTACGAAAAATACAGTGTCAAATTTACTCAAGTACCACACACCCTTGCACATGCGAGGCACACGAAAACTTTTGGACAACGAAATTAGTTTAAAAAAAAAACTTATCCGCGCATCAGACACGCCCGCTAGTTTTCAGTGAAAAAGCTCAAAATTTAAGAATTACTGTACAACTAAAACTATCATTTTATGATCAAAGAAAAAGGAGAATTATGCTCGCTTCTCTTTTTTAATTCATCTGTATTGTGATCCGAAGATGCACACAAAAATTTGGAAGATTTGCTGGAAAATTTTGCACTCAAGTATGAAGCGCACCGCAATTTTTTGCGGGGAAGAAGTGCGCAGGACTCGAGTAAATGCGGTAAATTTGCAACCGCAAATTGTTCATCTCATTGGTGTCTCATATGAAGGACAGCATCCACGAAAGCAGCTGTCTTGTACGGTAGTACCACGGATAATAGACTCCAACGAAGTGAAGTTCTTCGATCATTAAACTTGAGATACCACAATTTTTTTTCACTCCAGTGACACGCGAAATTTAGCGAGAGTTATCTGAAATTCGCTGGGCTGTGCACATTTCTACCTGTTCCCCTCCAATAGGGAACCTGCCGAAATTGGTAACCTTCCAGGAGGTATCCCTATAACTAGACTTGCTTGATACTATTTGGTATATGTATCATGAATTGTCGATAGTTTTTATTTTATTTTGTATAATTTATTGTTATTCTTTTAAGTTTTTTATTTTTCCGTTTACTGTCGATTTTGATTCGTAACGATTACATCTGGTCAATCTACAATAATATTGTCGCCCTCTTAAATATTTTACTCTTAAATATTACATAGATGGGATGTCTTGAAAAATCTAAAACGGCGGTGGTCGTATTTTATGAAGGCCATATAGTCCACCACATTTTGACGGCATGAAGTTAACTTGTTGAATAACTGTGGCGGAAAGTTCAATAGACTTCATTACTGTTCCGGTAAAAGAGAGTTCACCCGATTCACATTAACACGATTTTTCAAGCGTGACGGCCTGAGAACTGTAGCAAGGAATTCGAGGTCAGTCGTTCAAACCGTTGTGGAATTCTCAGGAGTTCAAGCTCAAGCCAGTCACGCTCCTTTGACCTCATCTTGGTATTTTTTGGTTGTTGCTGAAATATCTTGATTTTTCGTATACTCCAGTACATAATGATTCAAGAGAAAAGAATAAATCCAACGAGGTCCTCCGAGGCCAGCTTCATGCAGATTTCGAAAACGCACAAACATTTTGACTTTGACTAAGAATAACACAAAGGGAAGCTTATTTTTTAAAGTCTACAGAACAGCCTTTCTGAACTGCGAGATGATATAAACCTTTCTCATTTATACGCCAAATCGAGAGCAAAAGACTCTTGTGGAAATTTTGAGGAACATAAATCTCTCAACTAGAAGCTTTAAAAGAAAGGAATCATGTGCCGCATTACACAATCTTGGACAAAATGAGATTCCCCAAAATCATGTTTCCACATCGAGAATAGCCAAACAAACCATTTTTGAAATTACTCTAATTGCGGTAGGATGTTCTTCAGTCACCTGGAATTGGCCTCAAAAATCCCAAAAAAGATTTACAGCCAATCAAAATTCTAAAGGCTTCTATAAAGGATTTGATGCAAAAACAGTAAGACACCAAAATATGAACACCCCAACATACGGAAAATTTGATCATTGACACTTGAAACTGAAAAATTTACCCTTAACATCTAATACAAAGACTCAAGACATGGCCTTTTTCCCAAGATTTCTGTAAGTCTTTAAAATTTTTATTTTTTCTACATTTTGTGTTCCTTGAAGAAATTGAGGTATTTACTTTCAAATATGGTATGAAAAAATGAATCTTAAAATTACCCTAATTTGTCAAAAACAGGCTAACTTTGTGCTTATTTTTTTAGTTTTTCTCAATGTGTGCTCAATATAGTAAGACTTGGTCTTGTTCTTTGCTTCTTGAGCTCCTTCTGATGTCATAAAACCAAGTTCTGTGTGCTGGTTTTCTTCTGTGAATTTATTTACTGCATCTTGAAGTTGAGAAAAATCCTTTTATTTAATTTTAAAGGGACTTTTACTCAACTATTCATCTACAGGTGAACCAATTTAAAATATTCCCATTATTGAAGCTATGGGAAAATGAGGTCCAGCATGCGGATGTTTCAATTTTGGGACAAGGACTGTTGGAAATCAGATTTAGTAACTAGAAGTCAGGAAGATTAGTTCAAAGAAAGAAATGGTTGAGAAATGACTAATCTCGTTGGAATTCCATGGGACCAAGTTTGACCTCAAGTTCCCACAAGGGTTTTTTGCATCTTTGGAATTTCCAGAGACAAATCAGCTCTCAGGGATAAAATTTTGCAAGGAAAAAGTGTTTAAATACTATTCAATGAATTCACCTATGTACTCTCATCATTTGCTTTTTGGCAGTCTCACGCAAAGGACATCCAAGTTCTCATTCAAACCAATTTGTGCTTTTTGAATCTGTGTTTTTAACAGAATATAACAACCTTACACTAGGGTGTTAAGCACCCCGGCTGCAGGCTGGCTGATTATTGCCTTCTTCATTTTCTCTTGAGTGAAATATAATCATCAAAATTCTAAATCTCAAATCTTACTATCCCCAACAAAGGACCATGCACCAATTATGTCAACATCTGTAGGTCCCACAGTACTTGAAAAAAAATTTGACATAAGGAAGCATAAATACATTAGTTTGTGCATCACCAGAGCACCTTCTCTTCTTACGTCCAGCATTTCATACTGATAGAAACAAGCTTAAGAAAGACTTACAAGTATTGGAATTCAATGAAGAGACCCATTCTGAAAGCTTAAAGGATAAAGATAAACTGTTGGCCTTGTACGATTTCTCATCAAAGATTCTCTCTAATTTTTTCATTCAACTAAACCTCATACAGAAACAAGCTGAAGACCTTGTGCTTTAAATTAATTTTCACATATTTTTTTTCAATGTTAGGGAATGAATGGGTGTATGCATACATGTCAGATGTCCAGTTGTATTTCATGGATTTTATTTTCTTTTATTTTTGTTATCAATTTGTGCTCTGTTTCCTGCTCTGAAGTGATTAAATGTCATTGAGTGGATTTGGGCTGGGTGGGAAGGGGCTTGGTTGTGGAAATCTTGATTTAACCTTGTGAATGCTTGAAAAGCGGCAAATAAAGTGTTCTGTTCATTCATTCATTTATTCATAGGGAAATAGTATGACTTGGGAAGGTTCAAGTTATGGAGATACAACTGTTTAAAAATAAAAAAAGAGGACCTCATTTATACAGACCTGTTGATCCTCGCGAGTGCCCCAGGCGTGCCAGGAACATCCAGCGACTCATTAAGGTCCTCGCAGAAAAGCTTCCAGGCGCACTCGTAAAACTCCCCGCCGCCCTGCCAGGCCTTCACCAGACTCAGCAGCGCCCGAGTCAAGGAATTAGCATAGTCGACGGGCGGCAAGTACGCCAAAGCGGCGTCCCCGGGCTCCTCGAACTGGCGCCACTTGGAGTCCTCTCCAGCGGAAAACGCCCGCACGACATTCTGACCCAGCTGGGAACCCCCGGGTCGCACGCCCAGAGCGTGGTTCAACAGCTCCACGATGAATGCGCTAAAGGAGAAAACGGTGAGGAATGCGAGTGGGCCACGGAAGCGGAATTTGAGTCGCTGGCTTCGTCGCATTTTCTGTTGTTGTTGTTGCGACGATGACGGGGACTTGACGCGTTTTTTGTTGGTACTGCTGGCGATGAGTCCAGGATCGGGGTTGTTTTCCTGCTGGCGGAACCCGGGGTCTTCGACTGTGCCTGGAGCAGAGTCCGGGTCGTCCTGGCCTTCTGAGGGTGCTGATGCTGCTGCTGTCAGGTCCGCTGGGTTCTCATCGGAGCCCGGCGACGAACCCGGTGATGATGATGTGAAATTGCCGAATAGCTGCGCAAACGCGTCGCCGTTCATTCCGGCGGAGAACAGGGATGCCAAGCTCGGGATTTGCAGGCCTTCAGCAAAAATGAATGAATAAAAAGCCTTCTTTGAAACCTTCGGAAACCCCAAGTCTAATCTATACAAGTCAAGGCTTTTCAATATATATTTTTTAATGGTGAAGCTTTTAAACTGCGATATACCATCCATTTAGATACTGTATAAAACTAAGAATAGTTTTAACTTGAAGCAAGAGCAGCTTAGTCGATGATTGATTCAAAATTAGCAGCGAAATTAAGGTCCTCGAAGAAAATATGGATTTTCTACGAACAACAAATTTATTTGTCTGAATTGGAGCCTGTTCTGGAACTTCTCGAACCGTATGTGCATAGGACCCCCCCCCCCCCCCCNTTTCAAATTAATGCGAAGGACGCCAATGAACTTGAATCGCAAATGAACATCGGGAATTGCAGAAAACAGTTCATTTAAAAATGTCACTACCTTCACGCTTTTTGTCGGACCCGTCATGCGTGCCATGACCTTCACTGCTTGGTCCACCGGCAGCGGAGAAAATGCCGCCAGTCGGCGGCGGCAAATTGGCCAATTGAAGTATGGCGGACAAGAACCCGTCGTGCACGTCTGTACCCGCTGGGCCGCCGGAACTGCTGCTGCTGCTGCTCGGGAACACCGGCACCATGGGTTCTGCTGGGTTCTGCAGGCCCTGCTCTTGCTCGTCCTCCTCCTCCTTCTCCTCTCTTGCGACGGCGGGTCTCCGTTCGAACCCGGATTCGCGGGACCGAGTTTTCTCAGTCCTGGCTAATTCTTCGAGCTTTTTCATCTCTTGCTCCCGAAGGCGGTCCACGTCGTCCTGAGAGAGGGAAAATCAGCGAAGAAAATTAAGGGGAAATCTAAATGGGCAATGGCAACGTCTCAATTCGAAGAAAAGAATCCTCAATTTCTGTCAACGAAATCGTTTCAAGCACCGGAATTTCTTTTCATGTGGATGACTTTTGCTCATGATCAAAGCGTACAAAAACCATGATGCTAAAAATTTGTCAGGAGAGTTTAAAAATGGAAATTTTGCTGTTGCATAGAATATTAACTCTTTTTTCTCATATCTGGCGAGAATTTAAAAATTTTTAAATCATAATTTTTCTTTGAATAAATTAGAGAGGAAAGACTTTTTGTAGAGGGTTTGGTACAATTTACAATTTCATAATATTTAGCACACTCATTCTCCAAGGATGATTTTGCGTGCATTAAAATTTACTAGATCGATTGCTTGCAGTTATATTCTAATCCTGCTATTTTAATTGGCTGCATGTAGAGAAATACAGTTTAATCGCTGTATTTCTCGATTTCATGCAGACTATATACGATAAATTTAACTTTTACAGTTCAATCGCAAAGTGATTTCAGTGAGCGGCAATACTGCCAATACAGTATTGTCAAAAGAAACAAAAATGGAAAAAAATTGAATAAAAAAATGCACTGAGTGTTTTGCAACCTGTGGTCCGCAGACCAGTCCACATGAGTTTTTTGCCAGATTGCGGGAAATTTTTTTCAGCCTAATGAATTTATTAAAAGTAGCAGTGAAGTCTGTTCATCTTCACCTGAAATTTCGGAAAGACAATGGCAACCTAAATTATTTGATGAAAAATAAAAATTTGGATTTTGAATCAATAACACTTCAGACAAATTTGAACCTATTGAAATAAATTATTTGATTTTTCACTCTGAGAAAACTTTCTTCACAATCACCTTTCTAATTTTTGAAGACAATACACTGTAGCTGCTTCATTGGTTCTCGACTTAATTTTTGCAAAAAGCAACATACCACAAAGACTTTCAAGCAAAACTTTTTTGAGTCTGCAAACATTTCATGGAACTTTGCCAGCCAGCAGAATTTTTTTTTTTACTTACGTCTGCAAAGAATTTTAGGGAAATTTACCAACCCGCGCGGGCCTATAAAGTTCAGGTAACACTATGTGCTCTGTTTCCTGCTCTGAAGTGATTAAATGTCATTGAGTGGATTTGGGCTGGGTGGGAAGGGGCTTGGTTGTGGAAATCTTGATTTAACCTTGTGAATGCTTGAAAAGCGGCAAATAAAGTGTTCTGTTCATTCATTCATTTATTCATAGGGAAATAGTATGACTTGGGAAGGTTCAAGTTATGGAGATACAACTGTTTAAAAATAAAAAAAGAGGACCTCATTTATACAGACCTGTTGATCCTCGCGAGTGCCCCAGGCGTGCCAGGAACATCCAGCGACTCATTAAGGTCCTCGCAGAAAAGCTTCCAGGCGCACTCGTAAAACTCCCCGCCGCCCTGCCAGGCCTTCACCAGACTCAGCAGCGCCCGAGTCAAGGAATTAGCATAGTCGACGGGCGGCAAGTACGCCAAAGCGGCGTCCCCGGGCTCCTCGAACTGGCGCCACTTGGAGTCCTCTCCAGCGGAAAACGCCCGCACGACATTCTGACCCAGCTGGGAACCCCCGGGTCGCACGCCCAGAGCGTGGTTCAACAGCTCCACGATGAATGCGCTAAAGGAGAAAACGGTGAGGAATGCGAGTGGGCCACGGAAGCGGAATTTGAGTCGCTGGCTTCGTCGCATTTTCTGTTGTTGTTGTTGCGACGATGACGGGGACTTGACGCGTTTTTTGTTGGTACTGCTGGCGATGAGTCCAGGATCGGGGTTGTTTTCCTGCTGGCGGAACCCGGGGTCTTCGACTGTGCCTGGAGCAGAGTCCGGGTCGTCCTGGCCTTCTGAGGGTGCTGATGCTGCTGCTGTCAGGTCCGCTGGGTTCTCATCGGAGCCCGGCGACGAACCCGGTGATGATGATGTGAAATTGCCGAATAGCTGCGCAAACGCGTCGCCGTTCATTCCGGCGGAGAACAGGGATGCCAAGCTCGGGATTTGCAGGCCTTCAGCAAAAATGAATGAATAAAAAGCCTTCTTTGAAACCTTCGGAAACCCCAAGTCTAATCTATACAAGTCAAGGCTTTTCAATATATATTTTTTAATGGTGAAGCTTTTAAACTGCGATATACCATCCATTTAGATACTGTATAAAACTAAGAATAGTTTTAACTTGAAGCAAGAGCAGCTTAGTCGATGATTGATTCAAAATTAGCAGCGAAATTAAGGTCCTCGAAGAAAATATGGATTTTCTACGAACAACAAATTTATTTGTCTGAATTGGAGCCTGTTCTGGAACTTCTCGAACCGTATGTGCATAGGACCCCCCCCCCCCCCCCCCCCCCCCCCCCCCCCACCCCCCCCCCCCCTCCCTTATACCCCCCCCCCCCCCCCCCCCCCCCCAGTCATAAACTAATATACTGTACAGTACTGTACCATGAAAGGATTATTTTCACCGATTCTCGATTTTACACCGGAAAACATTAGCATACGTATTTACAGCCTGAAAAGAGTCCAGGAGCAATTATTTTACGCATCCCACCGCTGAAAAAATCTCGGTCTACGGGAAGCAATACTGTATTCAGGTCCTTTTGATTCATTTCCAATCCTTCCACTAGCCCCTCAATTTATTAAATATATACTTTTCCTAGAAAATGAATAAATGCCGCCTGAATTTTTCCAAAATACTTATAAGTGAATCAGCCTTAGTCTGGTTATTTTTCTGATACGGCGGCGCTAAATACCTCAGCTCTATATAAAAAAGCTGCATGAACGATACGAATAAAACATGACTTCAATTGGCATTAATGTGGAATTATTTTTGCCCCATTTAATAACGCTAAAAAAGCAAAACTTTCTCTTTTCCTAAACACTAGCTATAGACACGTAATTCGTATGAATCATTAGGCTCGCTAATTTCATTGAGTAATTGTTGACGTGAAAATCAGAGATACCCTGATGATTAGTCCACTTTGAAAAGTAAAAATATAATAAATTTTATTTTCGGGGAAACACAGTACTGTACTGTACATGCGATATTTTATCCTTACATCATGAATTTGTAAATGAAAATATTTTTCGTCATTTTTTCAAATTAATGCGAAGGACGCCAATGAACTTGAATCGCAAATGAACATCGGGAATTGCAGAAAACAGTTCATTTAAAAATGTCACTACCTTCACGCTTTTTGTCGGACCCGTCATGCGTGCCATGACCTTCACTGCTTGGTCCACCGGCAGCGGAGAAAATGCCGCCAGTCGGCGGCGGCAAATTGGCCAATTGAAGTATGGCGGACAAGAACCCGTCGTGCACGTCTGTACCCGCTGGGCCGCCGGAACTGCTGCTGCTGCTGCTCGGGAACACCGGCACCATGGGTTCTGCTGGGTTCTGCAGGCCCTGCTCTTGCTCGTCCTCCTCCTCCTTCTCCTCTCTTGCGACGGCGGGTCTCCGTTCGAACCCGGATTCTCGGGACCGAGTTTTCTCAGTCCTGGCTAGTTCTTCGAGCTTTTTCATCTCTTGCTCCCGAAGGCGGTCCACGTCGTCCTTAGAGAGGGAAATTCAGCGAAGAAAATTAAGGGGAAATCTAAATGGGCAGTGGCAACGTCTCAATTCGAAGAAAAGAATCCTCAATTTCTGTCAACGAAATTGTTTCAAGCACCGGAATTTCATTTCATGCTGATTTCACGTGGATGACTTTCGCTCATGATCAAAGCGTACAAAAACACACAGCATGATGCAGAAAATTTGTCGGGAGAGTTTAGAAATGGAAATTTTGTTGTTGAATAGAATATTAACTCTTGTTTCTCATATATCTGGCGAGAATTTCAAAATTTTTAAATAATAATTTCAAGCTTTCGTTGAATAAATGAGAGAGGAAACACTTTTTTTTAGAGGGGTTGGTATCAATTTACAATTTTCATAATATTTAGCACACTCATTCTCCAAGGATGATTTTGTGTGCATTACAATTTACTTGCTCTGTTGCTTGCAGTTTTATTCTAATCCTGCTATTTTAATTGGCTGCATCTAGAGAAATACATTTTAATCGCTGTATTTCTCGATTTCATGCAGACTATACGATAAATTTAACTTTTACAGTTCAATCGCAAAGTGATTTCATTGAGCGGCAATACTGCCAATACAGTATTGTCAAAAGAAACAAAAATGGAAAAATATTGAATCAAAAAATGCACTCAATGTTTTGCAACCTGTGGTCCACAGACCAGTCCACGTGAGTTTTTTGCCAGTATGCGGGAAATTTTATTCAGCCTAATGAATTTGTTAAAAGTAACAATGAAGTCTGTTCATCTTCACCTGAAATTTCGGAAAGACAATGGCAATATAAATTATTCGATGAAAAATAAAAGTTGGATTTTCTCCCAATAAAACTTCAGACAAATTTGCACCTATTGAAATAAATTATTTGATTTTTCACTATGAGAAACCTTTCTTCACAATCACCTTTCTCACTTTTAAGACATTACACTGCAGCTGCTTCATTGGTTCTTGACGTAATTTTTGCAAAAAGCAGAAAATTTTTAAATACATACCCTAAAGACCTTCAAGCAACAATTTTTTGAGTCTGCAAACATTTCATGGAACTTTGCCAGCCAGCAGAATTTTTTTTTTTACTTACGTCTGCAAAGAATTTTAGGGAAATTTACCAACCCGCGCGGGCCTATAAAGTTCAGGTAACACTGCAATACAAGGGATGGATAATAAATTCGTCAGTTTTGAAAATTTTTGAAATAGATCCAACGGAGTTTTCAAAAATTCTACATTTTTGTTCCTACTCGCAAATATAGTCCATCATTTGGCAATACTTCTGTGCTGTTCCACGCAGTATCTGCAAATTTCAATGCGTTTTTAATTTAATAAATCAGATGATCAAAACAGTGCCAACAATTGATACAGTGATTGCGTTAGTTGCTTTGACGACGGAAATATGAGGCTGTCACTGTCCTCAAAAATCTATCCTTTTCAGATCATTCTTCACCGCTGCTGGGAACAGCCAGAAATTATAGGATTTTTGTGTCAATGAAATTACTTCCAAGTATTTTTGCCGTTAATTTTTTTCAATGAATTTTGTTCAAAAAATGCTGTATTGCATTCCAAAAACTTTCAAAACTTATGAACCAATCGTTGTACAGAACTCACCTTTTGAAGGAATGCGGAGTTATACGAAGCCGACGGCGTGAGACCACTGAGATCGGGTCGATCAACCCCGGATTCAGATGGGGACATGAGCCACATGGCAGTGCAGGTCACAGTCGCTGTGACCAGCAAGGCCACTGCGAAGATGACCAGGAATTTCAAGAGGCTCTTCTTGTTCTCCTCGGACATGGTCACTCCTCCGCCGCCTCCGTCTGCCACCGGCTTGTTGGACGCCGTTTGCTGCTTAGTGGAATTCTGGGGTGACATGATGGTTGTCGGTTTATCTAGCCCAGCACGTAATAGGTTTGAACAATATTCATTTTCTGCAATGAGGATGAACAAAAAGAACAAGAATACGAGTTTGAGGATGCAACTGCTCTGCGTGATATGAAATTCATGTGCGTCCAACGAACGAACTCCTTCCTTTTCTTAATTGAGCGCGAGATTCAGGAAAATTGTTCACGACGATGTCGATGTGCTTCCGAATTTTGGAACACTGGATAATTTTTGGAGTTATTCCTTTAACCATCTGTTGCGAATATTTTCTCGATGTTCCCATGTGTCTTCTCATCAACAAAAATGTAAATGGGCCTCTTATCATTGAAGTGCAGCTCTATATAGACGAAAATCGATAATTTCTTCTAGCTCACATTTCATGTCTTTTTTTAAACTTAAAAATCAACCTTATTTTTGCAAGTCGGTATCTCCGAGCATTCAAAATGTTTTTATTAGACATTACCTGTGCTTTCTCTGTATAGCAAATCTAAAGACATTTTGATCATTTTACAGAGACTCTTTCTCTACAACATCCTTGTCTACAACGATTTTCTGTGTAGAAAAATTTTTTTTTCAGCCCCACTTTGTTCTAGGGGTTCTCTGCAATGAAATTCTATCTAAAACGAATTTTTCTGATCCCTTGAGCTTTTTTTAAAGGGAGAGTCCACCTGTATAATAATTATGTTTGCAACATTGCACGATAACTGAATTTCACACCAGTTCACTCACACACTTCCTTTATTAGATCAAGGAAAAGTCCGCTCTGATTATCATCACGGGAAAAATGGAATGGAAAGCAACCCGCAGATTTTTTTTTTTTTTTGGACACTAGACAAAACACTGTAGCTTCTACTGCCATATATTGGATATATAAAATGGAAATGAGAGAATCAACCAATAAAGCGACACGTACTCTGGACCGCTGTTGCCTATATGGAGAAAAAGTTGCCACTGCTGTCCCGGCAAAAACAGCGAGCTGAATGCTGCAGATGAGCGTCAATGCCGGGCTGCACTTTGGGTCTCCCATCATGGGCGCATCAGTGCGTGACGCCTGTATAACGGACCTGCGCTGCATCCCGTAATATGCGCGCGGGCATGTGCAAGTACAGTACAGTACAGTATATACGCATCCCAGGCTGCTCTCCTTCCGCAACTTTCATGCGGCGTTCACACCGCACCTCCATCCCTAATTTCGAATTACTCTATGCGTATTTCATGGAAAATGAATGCATGCAGTGGCGCGGGTCTCGCACGTATAACGAATGACCCGCACAGCGTAATTCTTGAATTTCAAAGATTTTGATTGGTATAAAAAAAGGATCTCATCACGAATTTTTTGGCCAAAATACACTTGAATTTCTGAAAATTTTGAGCAGTGTGTTTTTTTCAGCATTTTTTATGCATCAAGAAAACTGAAAAAAGCATATCGTAGTTAATCTTCTTTAATTTTTGAAATTTAGAAAGTTATGCGAATATTTTTATTAGGATTACTTCAACTTCTCATTCTGATGAATTTTGAATTCCTGAGCTTCATGCTGAGAAAATGCACAGTTCGACGATCTTCAGAGGAGTGTCTGGGAGAAAGGAAACTACTGTATTCACAAAGTAACATCAAGGGAAATCACGTTTCAAATTATAAAATACAAATGCTTCATAGAAAATTTACAATATTAGTTTTTTTATGTGGTACAGTATACTGTATAATCTGTATAGGTTCTCCAGATTATTATTGAAAACATTCATAATGCCTCATTTTTTGCTGGAATTAGAAAGTACAGTATCATCAGAAATAGAATGCAGCACGTCTTGTTATATCAAATCTCACGAAGAATTATTGCTTAGAACGAATTCATTTTAGGTCCCTGTTCAAGGAGACAATATTTATCTTATTATATTGCTTTGCAATAAAATATAAATCATTTTTGTCTGCATGGGTCCCAAAAGGCGCTTTTGTTTTCCCAGCAACCATCCTCAAACAGCGGAATGTCCCTGGACAATTTTCAGATTTGTGCATGTGGTTAGATTTGCCATAAGCGGACAATCGCTTTATAGCATATACGTAATACTATAGTCAAGCACGAGAGATTCGTGTTTACACATTAAAGTGTACAGTACTGCATCTGCCCAAGTTATAGTTGAATCCTGAAGGATATTAGGATGATATCATGAACGCTGTAGGTACATAAGAAAAAATCACGGACGAGAGTACGAGACGACAGCAGCTGCTGCGAAGAAGTTACATAAAAATAAGTTGACGTATGCCGTTAAAAAAGCGCACATTATTCGACCCGAATGATGCGCTTATGACACGAAAAAATGTTGAAACACTTCCCGCATGTATTTTGCGCAAAAATTCTACCCCACGCGTTCCGGTGGATTACCGTGAATTTTCCAGACAGCAGCAGCAGAAGATTTCCACTAGACATACAGCTTGATATTCCAGTATTCCAATAAGAAGCAATTTATTGAATACCGTAATTCAGCACTATGATAATTCAGTCGCATCATCTCCTCGCTTCCATACAACCCTCAAAAATGTATTTGTGAATTCAGGAATACAGTTCATATTCGTTTATTAGATGTTCGCGTAAACGAAGTACTCAAGTACAGGTACCACCTGTCGAAGGGATGATTCTGACGACACGCACTTCCTTTCCGGATGAAAATATCAGCGGACAGGATGGGATAAAAACCGTCCCCGGGCCGGCATGAAATGTAAAATTCGACCTGTAGTACCGTAACACACGATCAAATGTTACGAGAGCCCAGAAGAATGTCCTATTCGCGGAGAAAATCTCGAAAAAATGCTTTCTTCTCAAAGGTTGCCGAGTTCATTTCCATTACAGCTTGTTCCGCATTTATGAAAAAGCTCCGGCAAGTCGCACCAGTGAACTTCGAGAAACCGGAAAGTTGGATCAACGAAAGTTGAACACAAGCAATTTTCTTTCAAAACCGGTGCCAAAATTGCTCGAATAAAAGACGCACCTGTCCCACAAGTTGGTGAAAATAAGAGTGAAACAATTTCGCCGGCGGAGGCAAGACGCATTTTCCGTCCCTACAAATTAAATTACACTACTGTACTGTATTTGAGTACTGTATTTCAGAATCAGAGTAGTCCGTTAATAGCCGCAAACCCGCGCTGAAGCTCCTCCAATATATTGGGATTCGAGAAGAGATTCGAATCCCAATTCTTGTGCACATGAAATAAAATGGCGAAGACGATCTGTACGTGTACTTCAAATAAAACTCCTCTTTCAATACTATGTTGCACAGAAACAACATGAACTAATTTTGCAAATCCAAGCCACCATCACACATGAAGAACCATCGTGATTTTTGTGTCAACTTTTCGGAAAGAACAGCGCGCCGCATAATGTGGAAGTTACGTACAGTACTTCATCAAAAAATAGCTCGCTGAAGGACATTACTATACATGAAGATTTTCAACACAATTTTACAAAAATTCGATAAGTTATTTTAAAACACAACATACCAAAAAGTAGCTCCAAACAATTTGAAACGAGGAAACCTGTCTTCGGGGATTTCCCAAACAGAATCATGGATGCTTCTTGATCTGGAATAACAGAATTTCGTTCAAGCCTCTACCTCGTCAAAACATTCTCAGTCGATCAGCCAACCCATAAAAACCGATCAATTTTTAATTTTGTACACATTTCCCATATTCTGAACCCTTTTTTTTTGTCTGCTTTCGCGTGGAACGACGCACAAAACATACGCTCTAATTACACCATCTAATCTTCATCAAGAGAAACAATATTTTGGAATACTGTACGATCCAACAAAATGTCTCAAACTCGGTGTGGACTCCGATTTAACGTGCGCGCGAAATGACTAACCCGTGTTCCTCAAAGCGCTTCCTCGCTTCAAGACTCCGGAAAGTGGCGCGGGAAGTCAATTGCGCTTCCGGCGACCGCAATAATAGTTGAGCGTAAATTTCGGAATGATTCCACGGATAATGAGCGAGTTGTCACAAGCCCAGGCCAGGCAACGGATTTGAGGGATGGCTAACGACGTCAGATTTCTTCCCACATATGGGTCAACGTCCCCCGCAATCGTCATCCAGTGAATGATACCGAGTACCACAAGATTTTTCCAGCTTCCGTTTCCATGACGTCCACTGCACAATTGCTTTCGCACAATAGAAAATATCCTCGTGATAGAGAACTCAAAATAGAAAGAAAAAAACTCTGAAAAATTACTCTTTTTATTCCGGTTATTGCGCGATGATCCGAATAAGAGCACTTCGTTGATGGACGGCTCAAGGTAAAAAAAAAAAAAAAAAAACGAATAATAATCACTTTAATACACGGTTCAACAGTTTGCGTGCGACAAAGCGAAAACGCAGATGCTCACTTCGCTCAAGATCCAATTCAAAAACAACATAAGCTCGAATTGAACGACCTTTGATTCACAGGAAAAATGCCGACACGACGAACAGCCACGACTTCGAACAACATGGCTCGCAGTGATGAGGAAGTAGATTTGCACCCGTTCACCAAGCATGATGATGATCATTGCCACCGAATCGTCGGGAAGTGTGATCGTAATTTGGATGACCCGGCGAGTTTGGAGAACCACTCGCATGTCCGTGATAATAATGCCCAGGTACGTGAGCACTTCTCGACCCACTCATTCCGAGCTGACCCGACCCGCTGGCATAATCTCGCTGGATCACGAGCTTATTCTTTTCTCGGGTCACTTTCGTCGTCATGTTCGGTGGTACGCTGTGACCCATGGCCTGAGCCAGAGGACGCAACTTGTGCACCGGTATCGTCTGGCTTGGCGGAGGACTCGGTGTTAATCTCATTCCTGAAAAAAAAAGAGCATGGTTAATGAACTTGTGCCATCAATTTGAATACAGTACTGAATTTTCCAACGCGATTCGACATTACAGCCAGCACACATTCCGAGTTATAGGGGCGTGAAAAAACCTAACCTCATTTGGTTTTACAATCCCGCAAGAAACGCAACACAAGTAAAATAAATCTCCATCATTGACCAAGTCGTTTCCAAAATTAAAAGTAGCACTTTTAATTTAAGTCGTTTCCGAGATTAAAAGCGCTTCTCGTTTTACAGACGCAAAAAAAATTAATTTTTAACAAGCTGAAATGAAGACTGCCCAGTACAGGACTGGGTTTCCTCAAAAATAAGACAGGTTTCATGCAATGAGGAATGTTCCATCTGTTTTGAGACCAGATGGAATCATTATAAAATATATAGTTTTTTCCTGAAACAGCTCTTAGTTACATCACCTCGTCATTCAGGAAGACACGTCAGAGCTGTTCAATATAAAATGATTTCAATGGATCAAACTAAAACTAAATCTAATGCCTTCGCAATTCGTGAACCTGCTCTTACAAAAGTTTTGGTACTGGAAATGGAGAAACGCTTCGTTTCGCTTCCATCTTCCACTTTCATCGGCGAGTTTATCTTATTGTTAAGGCCTTATTTACTAATACAGTAAAGTAGTGTAATAAATAAAATCACGATCATCTTCGGTGACAACGAGGGCCTTGGTTTAAAAACGGATCACCCTAGGACCCTTATAGAATGGTTAAAACAGAAAACTCTGTAGTCGATCTAATTAGCGCAATCTCTAACAAACGAATTATTTTACAGTATCGAGGTTTATTAGACAAAATTCAGCATGAACAAAGGGTGAAAACGGGAAGAAAAAACCTATTTCGAGCAACGGGGTATTGAAAACGCTAAAATCACTCAAGTAAACAAAATAAAATGAGAAGAAACAAGCCAGTAGTTATAAAAAAAGAAATCACAAAGCGGAACCGAAAGTTCCGAAATACAGAATAGAAGAACTCCAATAATCCGGGTGTCGATTAATTAGGTTCGTTGAGAGCAAACGAATTGACCTGGATAATTTCAATTTGGGTCACAGTGCCTTCTCGGATCAATGCTTCATCCATTAATGTAATTGAAGATTAACGGGAATTTTGGCAATATTTCGAATTATGAAATTTTACACAAAAGTAATTCCGTACTTCAGTGCGCTCCATTATCCGTGAGTCCATTTTTAGGGCAAAGGCGTCAGGTCATTTAGATAATCAGGGTTCTACAGTTGACATTTATCTAGAGGCAATTAGGATTTTGTCTGGATGAATGTCTGAATGACTCGAGATGCACTAAAAAAAAAAATTAAAAAAAATGCGTACCTTCAGTGTCAATATTCCGTCCATTCAGAACATCCTTCAATTTCTTTTTGTACTCCCGACTAGCGTGCTTGTAATAACTGAGCTCCTTTTCTCTTGCCCTCAGTTTCCTGGTCAAGCTCTCAATGCTGGGCACGGAAGTCGAATCGAACGAATGCTGCCCTCCCAACTGTTGCAGAAGAACAGCCATTTTCTCTTCGTATTCCTTTTGCAAGGACGCAACCTTCCGTTCCTTTTCTAAATTGGCGTGATGCAAGGCAGCCGACAGCTGCTGGATGTAACCCTGCTGTTCTTCGTACTTGGTTTCCAACTCGGTGTGGATGAACTCCTGCTGTCGAGCTTGATCGCGAAGGTCGATGACTTTGAGGAAATACTTGTACAACAGGGATTTGCATTCCATCGGAGATAAGTTCATTAGTCGTGCTACCAAGCTCGTGTCACTTTCCTGATGAGAGAAATTCACTTTATAGTTCAGTATCACGTGATCTACAGAATATTGGCACACTCATGACACGATGAACTGTCCAGCAAACACACGGGGGAATACGTGATTTAGATTTAGAAGTTCATCAGTACCTTGGATTTAATTTATTTCGGCGCCAAAGAACAAGAATCTCATAAGTCCAAAGCATTGTTGAATCCATAAAAAGACCTCAGATCTCGTTTGCTGAAGATTTTCAATAAGAGCCTGGACTTGCGCTGATCTGTTCTCACCGATGCAGATTTTAGGGCTAGGTCATTGGTCATCATCACGAATACGAAAATAGCAAGAAATTTTTTTAAAGAAGATGAAAACTAATATCCAGTTTGTTCCGCATTAGAATCGAACCTCTCGTCGAAGACCACAAAAAAAAAACTGATTTAGGGAGGTTTCGAGTTAGGGAAACAAGCATTTTTGTAGGGAAAGAGAGAAAAAATTACAGAAAATTGTAATTTGTGATATTCTGATCTTCACATTTCTTCTGGAACGAGTTGACAGGACGCTGAACTTAGAGGCCAGGATCTCCCGAATGGTCCTTCCCTTCTTTTCAAAACACGTCGTCACATTCTTATCGCCTTTCCATTTCTTGTGTCAATAAAATACAGAAATCGCCAATTGGCGTCCAGACAAATCGAGTTATGGAGGTTTGAGGCGGAAAGCCTTCGAGTTCGAGAGGTTTCGAATGTATTGCTTTTGAGGGAATCCAGACACGGACTTTAAAAACATTCGAGTCCATTCGACCCAGGGAGGTTCGAGTGATGGAGATTCAATTGTATTTTGAAATATTTGGAAACACTTAGATCTTAGACGGTCCTCAAACTCATAAAACATGCAACCACATAAATCAAACATTGTTCCTCAGTGCATAGTATTTTAACTTAAAATCGTATAAAATCGGGAGTATAAAATCTGAGCAATTGTTAGAAATAAGGTCCTGTACGTCTATCCATCCCACACGGGGTGTACAAGTTTCAGAAAACAATGAATCAACCCTCGTATAAAATGACTTGTCTGAAATATCGATTCCAAAATACTTCCGATACTAAGAATCCACTGCCGGATTTTGCACATAGCACAACGTTCCCTACAGCAATTACTGAAGCCGTCACGAAATAAGCGTGATGCCCATCGAATGTTTCAATGTGGAAGAAATCACGCAGGTTTCGCACGGCGAAAACATCAATTCGGCGCAGTACGCGAAAAACATCCGAGGATAATCGAAATGCTCCTGGTCCTTGCGCCGAAGCAGGTATCACAAACACAAGTTCCTTCAAAGCTCGGGACAATCTCGATTTTCTACTCATATCGTTTAGGGCAACCGTTTTAATGATCTCGAAGGCATATGTTTGAATCACATAAAAAATAATCGACTGATGACGGATTTCTGATCGAATAGTCGTGAAAACCGCAACAACAAAAAGGGAACGCTGATGATTCTGAAGGAATATCACCCAATGAAACTTGAATAAAAAAAATCACTAGCTACACAATTTTCCACGCTGAATTGACAGCAGATATGATTAAAACGGAATCGCAAGCTAAAGATCAGCACGTAATGACTGGTTCCTTTTCTCCGGCATATCAGATTCAACGATTAGAGCGGGGAAAATTCGATTCGTCAGAGGCGATCACACTTACCGCTTCAGTGACCAGAGGTAACGGTTCCCCACGGGAACAGATGACATCGTTTTTGTACTCGATTGCCGTATCTACGGCTTCAATTGCCTCGTCAAGCTCGATCAGTCGTTTCTCTTCAGAGTCGGTCAAAATTTTCCCCTGAAATGAGGACAAATAATTATTATTTATTTCTCGCCCAGACGAAATATTCATTAGGGCATGTAAATCATAAAATTCAATGACGTACTCTTGATAGTCTTGAACCGACCTTATTTACCCGAAAGTCGAGGGTCTGACGCTCAGATGTGAGAGAATCCCGAGTCACTCGCAGACTGCGAATTTCGTTTCTCACAGACTCTTCGCCCTCATCTGCGTCACGAGATGGACCGACAGAGGCATCAATCGTTCTACTAGGGCTTTTGATGCTGTTTCCAACAGGAGTGTTTTCGACAACCTGAAAAAAAATCCAAAATCGACAATGCAGGTATGAGCTGCCATCCTCGCACCAGTTTCACCGGTCGAAAGCAAGAATGTATTCAAAAATATAATGTGTGCGACTTCAACATGGAAACCGAATCGAAAAATTGTCTCTGAGTTTACCTGTTGCACGATTTCCAACGTTTCGGGACGAGCGGAATCTTCCTTTGCACAGTCTTTGTTTTGACAGCGCAGTTTGATCAAACGATTTTCTTCCTCGTCCAACCATCTTTGGTGAGCAACGATATTGACAAGCTCGGCTTTGAACTGTTCAGCACCTTCGAAGTTTCTCAGTTCTTCGCTAATCTGATGGCTTTTTTGCTGATGAAATGAAGAAGACAACTGGGAAATAGATCACATATATGAGAATTACTACGAAGACACAATGGGGAATACAAGGTGGACCAAAATTCAATGGAATGATTTTTGCAACCGTTTTACTTCCTCGACGCTTTGAGACATCGCCTTAAAAACAATTAAGGTCAAGGATTACCGCATTCACTCATTTGTTTAACTATTTCTGCATTTATGGATTCATGTGCTACGAAATGACCAAAATGTCATTACGGTATTTGTACTCGGAAAAAAGTTTGCCATGTGCTTTCCACAAGGGTTAGACAGTCCCATCAGTGGCACGTGGCTTAGAATATCCACGAATGGAAAAATTCGGGAAAAATTCAGATACAGGAATGCATAAAATTGGGACAGAAAAACCGACTTTCGTCGTCGAAGATTATTCCTTTCTGAACCATTCGGTTGGAAGCTTAGCAACAATTCAATTCGAAATCTTTTAAGGCAGTAGCTCAAACCATTTTGGAGGAACCATGGTTTAAAATCAGTCCAATGTTTACAGGTTCACCCAGCAAAATACTCCATTAACATACCTTCAAGATAGTCTCTTGCCGACGAATCAAGCCTTCCAGCAATTTCATTTTTTCATGATCCACGAGCATGTCTTTCTCCAGTCTAGCTTTCCGGTCCTGCTCTTCTTTAAGCTGTAGTCGCAAACGTTCTTGCTCTTCGTTCATCAAATGAAGACTGAGCTCAAGGTCTGCGACTCTGCAACGAAACGTAACAGCCAGGTGAGCATATGGGGAGTTCACTCGGTAAAGGATTCATACTACTGTATAATTACTGTACCTCTTCATGTAGCCTTCGGCAGAAACCACTTCAACACCCTTCAACTTGTTCTCGTAGCGTTCGATCTTTTTACGGAGTTTAACAACATCTTCAGAATTATCAGCGCCAGTTTCATTCTCGACAGCTACATTTTGCTTTTTGCACTGCTGCTCCAGTTGCTTGATTTTTTTCTCGAATTTCAGCTTTACTTCCTCGGCGTTTTCTCCTTGTCTGAAAAAGCAAGATTTTTGAATGGATCTAAATGCAGAAACGAAAGAATTTCTCATACTTCAGAAGTTCTGCTTTCAGGTCTTCTTTCAGTTTCAGCGTTTCGTTGAGATCAGCGATTTTATCTTGCAAGATTTTCAGATCAACGTCGAATCGCTTCACTCGGTTTTCTTTTGTTTCGGCGTCTTCCAGCAGGCGTTTGATTTCTCCTCGCACGTGTTCATCCCATTGATCCAATTGAAAACTCGATGGCAATCCCATTAAATTACAGGTACTGGTCTGTGAAAGAATACAAAAATGACCTTAAAAACTTTAAAAATCCGAAGTTAACCACCACTACAGTATTTTCCCCAAGAAAAATGAGTAACATTTTCAATTTTCTTCCCAGATTCAAATTTTCATTCGCGTATCTCCCTTCTCTAAAATAAACTTTTGGAGAAAAAAATGCAAATTAAGAGGCCTCGCACGCCGTATTTATTTCTGTACCAGGCGTTTTATGCAAGAAGTGCACCATGATTCCGACGAAGAAACTAAAAAACATGTAATTTTACTGAATCCTGATGTACAACCGCTTCTTTTTTACTTAATAGAGGAAAAACAAATGCAAGAGGTACACGCAAACATTTTTTTCCTGGTTTTCAAGATTTTGTCGATATAAAAGCAGCTTTGAAATTTGATTTCTACCGAGTACCGACTCACTTCCGCATCCATTTGATTCAAGGTCCGGTCGAGTTTCTCCAAAATAGTTTTTGCATTATGCATGCGAGAATTAGCAGCCAGTATCCGGAAGTGTTGTTCGTGCTGATGCAGGGAATCCCAGAATGAGCCCTCGTTTCCGTCAGAATCATCGTCGTCTTCATCTTCTTGGTCATCCTCATCCGCAACAAACGTAGCATCGTGCTCACTCGGTTCTGTAACTTCATCTAATCGGAGAATAAAATCGAAATTTCAGGGGAAACCCGATTTCACCGCGGAAGAAAACTCACCGATAACTTCCAGCCCCGGGATCGCTTTACTCCCCCGCCGCGAATCTTCTGAAAGACATGGTATTGGCTGAGCCTGAGAACATACTGCGTCAGCGACGCACTCCTGGCATTCCTGCTTCAAGCAGAGCCACGTTTGAATGCGAGCTCTTTCATCATCTGTACCATTTCGACCAGGTAGCGAGAATAAAACCGACGTCAGAAGTTCTTCAGCACCTTCCAAGAGCTGCTCATACTGTTTCGCAGCGAACTGTAGCCTTCAAAATGAACGGATACTTCGTCAGAATAAAGATGAAATACCGTAACAGTTCTTTGTGTGTTACACGCTTACACCATACGGGTATGTATCTACCGCAGAAATTTAAAATTTTCGATTTAGCTTCAAACTTGGGACATAAACCATTCTCCTATGAAAGACCCGATAACTTGATGTCTTTAAAGACTTCATTATGAGGGCTGGATAATTAATTCAACACGTTTCGATTCCTTCGATTTACACTTTTACAGTACTGTATTTAGAGATGTAAGAGGTGAGATGCATTTCTTTCAGGTGGCATCATTTTCTAAGAGTGATCCTTAGAATTACAAGTAGAATTCCATCATTTCGCATCCGTGGAAACGAATTTTCTATTCTCAGAAAATTGTCCACGGTCCCAATAGGAAAACATTTCTAATATGTCTATAAACAGAGGTTGCCCTAAGGCTGGGGCAGACGTCAAATGTGGGGCCCATCAAAAAGGCTTCCCTGCCTATTCTCAAACAGCATTTGAAAAATAAGATTTAAATCAAAATAAAGCTGCAAATGCAATTAAGTTTCTTGAAAGCTAAAAAATGTCTTTTGCAAGTTTCTAAGATGAACTTTTAGAATTTTTCTTCAAATACTTGTACTGTACTAGCATCTCTTATTTTTTAAAGGTAGAATTGTTTGTTTTTGCTAATTTGGTTGTATGTTCAAATATTCAAAATTTAAAATTACCAACCAAAATGGCCATTGCAAATAAAATTACTACTGTGTAATAGCAATCATACTTACTGCAGAAAATAAGTGCAGCTAATCAACACTCAATGGTCATCATCTTCCTGAGACCAGATTAGGCTGCTCAGCATTCATTTATCTTAACCCATGAACTGCCAAATTTCCTGCATGCCCAATTGTATGCCATTTCACTTCATTTACATGTAGATAGGCTGGGGACATTTTTTTCCAATTTTTAAATTCAAAATTTTGTCAATTATTTGAATTTCAAGTTTGATCCCCAAATGTGGCTCACAGCAGTTCCCATCTCCTTTTTTACTAGTAAGAAAAATCTTTTATGAATGGGAAAAAAAAAATTTGGAATTTTTTGGCTAAATTTTATCATTTCAAGCTGAATGTGAGTGGAAACATATCTTCTTATCCATTTGAGATACAAGAATGCCATTAGGAATGAAATGCATAAATATTTTTTATGATTTTCAAAATATTTCTAAGATCATATTTTTGTAACAGCTACAAAAATCTATGAACAGCATCCAGGCTGTAAACCAAGTAATTTGCTAGCATTTTTCAACTGTAAGATGAAGTATGAAAGCTTAGGGGTATCTTCAGAAAAATTTATCACAAAAATTATATTTATTACAATTACAGAAAAAATTGATTTAAAATCATATAAATTTTGTTTAACATGTTTTTATTGTCACTTCTGTGTGCTCAACCCAGCAGCCAGGTTTATTCAAGATATGAAACTTTTTGGAAACATTTTCAAGAAAATTTGAAAATAATTTTTTTATACTCCAACTGCCATGAGCCCCATTTGGGGATCAAGGTTCTGGAACTTGATGTAATTGATAAAAAATTCAGAAAATTAAATAAAATATGCCAAAGCATTGAGAAATACCCAGGCTACAAGGACATACAAAATTTTGAATTTATCTGCACTAGAAAGTACTTTTCTTGCATTCCAAAAATCATGTTTTAACTTTTAAACGGAATTTGAAAGTTGGCTTCAGAAAAAATATTGCTGTTAATTGAAAAATGGTCAAAAAGAGGCAAATGAGGTCTTGAATTGTAGATAACTTCGCTGTGGAGGCTTTGTATATTTTTACATGATTTTTGCTTGGACGGTATTTTTTTGGGGGGCTGAAAACCTTGTGAGTCCCAAATGGGGCTCACGGCAGGTAATGGGTAAAAATTCTGCAGATTAGATAAATTTTTTTGTATGTGTAATTCTGGAAAATGTATCTGTATCAGTTACACTACCAATTATCTTCAGGTTCAATTTGAAAGGGCTTTAAAGAAAGCCACAGCAGTTTTCAAGTTTTAGGATTATGGCCCAATGTGTGTACAGGTTGATCACAAGGACCTTCTTATAATTGTTACTTATTCACACATTACCAACACGTAGAAATGTAGCTTATCTGTTTTTAAAAACATCACAGATATTATTTTTCTCATTTTTTGGAACAGCTGCTCTAAATTTTTGCCCACATTGTATAACAGAAAGGTATTACAGCAGGATATTTTTGCTAGCAAAGGACTGGCTTTAGAGCCAAATACTTTCCATGCAGGGGGATTCAAAAGGAATTGTCTTTGTGGGGTTTTCCAGGGATACACTGTAAATGCAATTGCAGAAGATAATTACTATCAATAAAGTTCATGCTCTAGCAAGGTCCAGCAAGCAGCAACAATATTGTTTTATCCGTAATAGAGAAAGCAGCATATTTACTCTGAAGTCAGGATGAATAAATATGAATTTCATTGTAATCTTGATCATCATATTTTTAGAAATATTGATTGCAAATTAGACCCTCATTGCATAAAATACATGAGAAAGTTTAACATTGATGGTTGCCTTTATTTAACGGTCATTTAAAATTTAAGATGCAATGTTTCTATTTAAAATTCCTATTGATAAGAAATTTACAAGACCTTATAAAATATGAAAATGCATTTATCTTCAAAAAAAATTTCACTGAAGATTGAAAAATGCATATGCAGTAGGAAAGCTTCTATGCCAATATACTTCTGAATGCATTCTTGGCTCTGTAGTGCTCTACTTATTGTAGATCAGATTACTTATTGTCAGCAAACTTTGTAAAGAGGTAAGAATAAACAAGTCCGTTTGGAAGGAGCCCACTCCTTCCACTTTCAAGGCAAGTGGAAACAATTTAGAGGGGGGCAGCCAATTTTCAGAGCCACAGTACGGCGGGGCCCCCCTCAAGTGCGGGGCCTGGAGCAGCCGCCCCTCTCGCCCCACCCTAAGGCCGCCACTTTCTATAAATATAGACATACTGTACGCAGGTTTATACCGTATTACCTCTTCGTTCATATATATTGCGAATAAATGTTCAATTTTCATCATAAAAAATTGATTTCAGAGTGGAATCTCAGTTTTCCTCTCAGAATCATCACAATATTTCAAATTTGCTCACGTATTTTCCACCTTGGAAGAATTCTGAATCACCATCAAAAGGTTTTGGAAAATGAATAAAAAGATTATTAGAAAACTTATCAGGGATTCGTTCAATAAAACCTCTGGTAAAAACCGTAGAATGTACTGTATTTTCAGCTAGGGGATGCTGTTGCGTTTAAGGAGACAATTTTTACCTTGCTTTCAATACCTTCGTGAATTGCTGCTTTTTAGCAATTTCGTACAGGTATATTAACTGATATTGTCATGATTTCGTAAAAATAAATGTACTTAAAGAATTTAACCTCAGATCCCAGGAAAACAAATTTAAATGTAGCACAGTAATTCAAGCTTTTTGACTACAGTAACTCATGTCATGAAGAATTTTTTAGGGTACCTCGAAGTTTGTAAGCAAAAAGATTTCTCATGTGATTCCTAGGACAGCTGCTTCTGAAGTGATGCACTCCACATACTAAAACGTTAATTGTGGGTAGGACGGTAGGTCACGTAGGTGACACTGGGCAGGCACGGAAAATACTTAATAAATTTAAGGATCGTGCTTTCTGTGGTTTGTTTGATTTGGAGCAACACATTATAATTCAAATAAGACAGCGTTACAGCCTAACTTCTTCAGACGTCCACGGTTTTAAAATTTAAAATGCGTAAAACGCAAAAAAAAACAATAATAATTACCGCAAGAAGTAATCCATATCGACTAAAGACTCACCTAAACAAAGAATCCATCTGATCCCCAGATTTGATCTGCTCACAATGTTCTTCACTGGGGTCCACATTGTTGTTTAAATTATCGTTTATGTCATCACCGGGAATGATTTTCCTGTTGTAAACTGGAAAATTTCTAAGCAACGAAACATCCCTGGACATCAATAACGATTCGATCGTTTCGGCGAAATCGCTGACGGCTGCAGAGACACAGCACAGAAAAACGGTGCGACAATTCCCGCCAAAGGCATCCCTCAGAACTGTTGTCAAACTCGACGAGTGATATGGTGGTGGCTGGCCGGATATCAGTGAACGAACAACACCAGTCAAAGACACAAGGCCAGGATTGACAACAGACGATGTTCCGCAATCAACAAAGGTCATAGTCGAAGCACGTTCTTCTTTGAAATCACCTGCAGCAAAACAAAAAAACGCAAGTCACGCAATTAGGTCACAAATTCTACATCGTGTCGACAAAATTATTTGAAAGATTTAATATTCGGAATTCCATCTCGTCTGGACAAAATTGAACAAAAGATTGAATATTTTAATAAACACAAAAATCTACGCTGAATTAACACCAGCTTAAAGGTGACTAGCTAGACTAACAGATACGCTTTTGAAACGTACAAAAACATTTCCCATGCCGGGAATTGAACCCGGGCCTTCAGGGTGAAAGCCAGATATCCTAGCCACTAGACCACATGGGACGGCTGTTCAACAGAGGTTTCCAAACCAACCTTCATACCAGTCCTGGCGAAGTGTCACGATGAATAATCCGTGAGAGTGATTCGCCACTCCCGGCGCGGACACCACGCATCGACAACGCGAGCCAGCATCCAAGCACGCAATCGCTTCACTCGGTGTTCGACAATCGATTTCCAACATTCCATGTAAGACGACTCTTCCCTAAAGATATCCACAATTTCCAATGAGCGAAATTTCAAACACCGTCATCAACTTCGTCAAAAATTGTAGCACTTCCTTCGAAGATACGGTAGTCTCGGAAGAAGATTACAGTATCCCACTTTTTCCACCCCGCAAAAGCTGCTCCATAAACACACATTAAAAGACTCGATGCACTCGAATTTTCACCACTTTCAATTCACAATAAGCCTCGTCCGGTATAATCACAAGATCAGTGGGAATATAAGTTATTTTAAAATATTTGCCGTGTAATTTTTTAATAGCGAAGAGCTTTACTGCAAAACTCATGAGATCAAATACTGTACTGTATTTAATCCCCCAACCCGAGGAAAACCTACACGATCAAAATCATTTTCATTCAAAATTTCCGCGCCTGATTTCCTTCCACAAGAAAACGAAATTTCGTCGAAAATTCAAGTGATATTGAACTGAGAATGAAACAAAATTCGCGAGCAAATCCGGGTTAAATTCAAAATATAACTGACCGTCAGAAAAAAAAAAAAGGGGGGGGGGGGTTTAGAACTACCAAGGACTTACTTCTTTGTCCAATAACACGCTGACAAAATTCCCAGCTTCATCGACGTTCAGTAGGTCGCGAACAAGATTTTGGTAAACTTCCACATACGAAACGGAAACACTGAAGTTCCTGTTCTGCACCACCTTGAAAAAAAGGAGAAAAAAATGACATATATATAGACCCTAGGGCTTGAAATACAGAACGACAAGATCTTTGCAGCCTTACCTCGGTGATCTGAAATAAATCCCGAAGGAAGCGCTGCAGCATTCCGAAGTCAGATTCATTCATTGCACATGAGAGCGCAGATCCCATAAGACTGTACGTTTTCCCACATCCACTCGGACCATAACCCAAAATGCATCCATTTTGTCCTAAAACAAAACAGTACGAGTATACGTAGAGTAAGACAAAAAGGACTGCGTACATCGAACATACCGTCAATGAAAGGCTCCATCAACGGGTGTACCAAAGTTTCATAAACGAGCTGCTGCGATGTATTAGGATGGAAAACTGAAGAAAACTGAAACGTGTTCCCATCTGGTGGTCCATTCAGAACGGCAATGCGGTTGTTATCTGGAAATACTCTCAGACATGCTGCTCGTGTCCCAGGACTCGCCGGGGTAGTCAAGGGACGCACCTACAGCCGAACACAAGAACGATTTAGTCAAGATGAAGACGAAGCACTTCGTTCAGTCAGATCGAACCTTCATCATTCAAACACTCACCCTGACCCCAACGGTTATAGGAAACGAATGCTCCGGAGATGGATGGTCCATGATCTACTTCCTTTCACGTATCACTCGTCCCAAAATCAAGAGCAGAATAAAATGACACGTCGAACCATTCAGGAACGATTCGGCATTCAAAACAAACAAACAAAAACATCTGTACAAAAAAAGAGAAAAAAACTTCAACAAAGACACTTGAAACAGCTAAATGTCATGAAGAATGAATGCTCCTGCTCGAAACTGGTTCATCAAAGGTTTCACTCGGCAAATCATAGCAAACAAATGTTTTCTTGGGGAAAATTTCGGGTTTATAAAAAAAACTGCAACAAAACGTCGCCGACAATAGGCGTTCACGACATCTTCACGCTTTCTCCTTCCACGGCGAACTGTCCTCCGAGATAGCCGACGAAACACCCTCCCAAAACTTATACCACGAGACGGTAAGAAATATATCTCCCGGCAGTTTCCGATGGTCGAACGATCTTCACAACCTGTAAAACCCATTCATAGTATCAAGTTCAAAAGCAACATCTGTAAAAGTTCAAGAGAGGAGTAACGCTCCACCTGGCCGCGACGCAGACCAAAGTAGCGAGCAATTGGATCGCACTCTTGCATACGCGGTAGTTGATTCTCTTTCAGAAGACTTGACCACAAATGGAAGTTCAAGTGAAAAGCGAAGAAAGTTTGGCATCAAAGCAAAAAATCTCACGCACCTGTCCACGCCTCAAACCATAATATCTGGCTACGGGGTCTCCTGCTTGGATCCTCATAAGCTGGTTTTCTTTCAGCTTGCTGTTAGTCAAAAAAAGAACGCGCTACTGGTAAAGGAAAAAATCACACGGCAAACAGGCATCATGCGATCTATATCACACGTGTTATTTTGAAAAGGATACTATCGAGCGAGAAGCTCCTGCTTTTCCTCGGGCGTCAGCACGATGTGCTCTGGAACAAGTTCATGTTCCGTGATATTGATGAGCAATTCTGATTCAAGGAATTGTTCCAAGATGTATTTAGGAGCCATATCCGTAAGAGACTGCCAGAGAAAACATTGTTAGCCAAAACGAAGGTTCACTGGGTTTCAGAACTACAAACCTGCTTCGCAGAGGGTGTCATGCCAGCCTGGACAACAATGATGGCTCTACTAATATTTTCCTCTTGCATTCTTTGACAATACGTTTTGATGGTCTTGATTCCAATTTTTGGCTCATCAGGGAAGAATACGAACATTTGGTCTGTTATTAGAGAAAGGCGGCCCAAATTAATACGATAGCAAAAAAATTACGCGAAAAACACACACCTGTTGGATCGTCATTGTGAGCAACAAGAAGAATCAGGTCACTACGAGCCGGTTTTTTCTCACTGCAAAAGCATCGAAAGATTAAAGAATAGGGAGGACATGGAAGCATTTAAATTGTCACCTCGGCTTGTCCCCAAACTGCTCCTTGAACTGCTCCAATGTTTGATCTAATTCGTCTTGTGTGACTAAATATCCTCGATCGTGACAAAGCTGCTCATCGAAATAACAACGAATTCAAGGAAATCTTGTGAAATCGGAAATGCAGCACTTACTTGAGTAATAGTCCGGCGAATCCGCCAAAGTTTATAAGTTTCAGCTTCGTCATCCATGCTAGTTCCACAGCTGAAAGATCAAACACTTCCGCTGGATTCGGTAAAATTCAGAAATAAATACGGTATAATAAAAAGCTTCAACTTCAGGGAACGGATGAGCGCTCATTATGTTCGCACTCGACATCGGGAGCAACACGAAATTTAGGAAGCACACACAGTACTCGAACACGAGGAATGCATTGAATTTTCCACAGATCCCGGAAGAAAAAGACACTCATCATTCCTTTCAGATCGCAAATTGTGAGCCGCAGAGATTCCAGCCTTGCCCGGGAGCAGGCGTGCGAGTAGGGAGCAGTTCTAATGTATCACTGGAATGATGAAAAAGACGACAAGGCAAAATGACGCTAGCGTTTATGTCTATGGCATTTTAGGAAAGATGTCGCTCTTCAGCAAAAAAAGCAGCAGATTGTAGCCTACTTCGAAGGTGCTCACACACGTGTATATGCATGCAGCACACTCCCATTAGTCCCATACTGTACCGATGATTGGATTTCGGAACAATGCCGCTTCGAAGCACGTAGCAGCCGAAAATTAGCATCTCGTGCCGAGACTGCACGATCCTCACCATCATTGTTTCTTATTCTTTGTTCCTTCTGTCCACCACCGGCACCTCGCTGTGCATCGACCGTCTCAGAGCCGATTCACGACCACCTCGATCAGCAGGATGAATAAACGCAAATCGCTGGTGCGTAATTGAAGGCGATCGAAAGCAAGTACAGCCTCGTCAGGTCATCACGCTCAAAAGGAGAGATCGAGCGGCGGAATCAATGCTCTACTTCCGTCCGTTAATTGATTTACCGCTTGCTAAGCAACCGCGGCATTCTACTAATTAGCGCGATGCCTCAAGCAAAGAATCAGCCGAAGCGAAAAGTCGTACACGAAGAATTTATCCCGCAACATCTGGAGCTTGATTTACGCGTCTCAAAATACTATACCAACATCACTGCTGCAAGAAAATTACTCTCGCTGGAAAATCGAGTGAGTACGTGTGCCTCAAGGTAGAAAATCAGATACAACACTTTCTCATTCGCCGTGGACGCAAAACAAAAATCCGAACTCATTCGAAGGCGATTTTTGAACTAAAAAAAAAATGCAGTTATCCTTTATTAGAAACAAATTGGAAATTGCTAACGACCGAATCCCCCTGCTATGCCCGAGGACAATTTAGCCACGAATTCCTTGCTGTTCTCCCACACCGTAAATTTTACAATGTATAGTTCTCCATACTGATTGCAGTTCTGAACATAAAATCGTTTGAATAATGAATGTAAGGATTTTTCACTGTAAACCGTTCAAATGACAACGTAAAATATGACAGCTCACTCCAGCGTTTTTTTCTGCACAACTGGTGAACTTGTTCTTGGGAAAAAACAAACTGATGAGAAGTTCTTAAATTGGATGTTCTGAATCCATATAATGGAAAACAATACTAAGGTACTGTATTTTGAATAAATCTTGGAATGTGATACGCATTTTTTTGCATGAAATCTCAGACTTCATTGATACCACCGATCAACAAATTATAAATGAAGATGCTGATAACGTCAATAATATTCAACGTCCACCATTGAATTCCTACGTTACTCAACCAAAATTGACATATTTCCTCAACTGCAAAATTAATTTTGCAGCTTATGATTTTTTGTGTGTGCCAGGAACCTCCAGCAATAGGGAATGAACTTATTCGAAGAAAAAGTTCGTGCAACTTTCAAAACGTGTTGAACTTACCTTCAGCTATCATTTTTCATCTGAATTTCGAAGTTCTCTGAATCAGCACGAGCCAAATCGAGCAAAGGTCGGCTTCGTGTCTCACCTGCTGGCTCCAGGATTTACATCATTCATCTTTCGAAGCATTAGAAAAAAAATATACAGTGATAAATAATTGTACCTTTTCTCCTCAGATGTACAGCTAGTACTGTATAATTTCTTCTCAATACACGTTCAAATCATTCGACGGATAATTACTGCAAAGGATAGAACGTCGGGGGATGATTAGATAGATGGCATACAATATTTTATTTTGTTCATCAACGCATGTACAACACAACTTTCGGGATGAACTCAAGACTCAGTTAATCAAAGTGATGAAAAATTGTAATGCCCAAGAGACTCCAAGTTAGTCCTAACCCAGAAGGTTAAAAAACATACGCATAAACAAGTCGAATTTTTGGAAGAGCTTTTTTTTCTTTGCCCTCCCAAAACATTTTTGCACAGAATTAAAAATAAAAAACAAAGATTTCAAGATTCGGGCTATATTTGCTGATACTTTAGTACAATATATTGTTTAAAGAGTCAAGTGGCTGCAAACAATTGTTCCAAAAAGAAGTTAATCTTCCTAGTTTGAGAATTGCTTATTAACCCTTGTGCAGCAAAGTTGGACTTTTTCTGAAAACTTTGGTGCCTGTAAGACAAGCTTAAAAAATACATAACAGTGCATCCAGGGCAAAGTTGGGAAAAATCCTGGCATATTAAAAAAAAAAAAACCTAGAAAAATTTTGCCCAAAAAAATCCAACATTGTACATTGCCAAGGCTGAGCTTTTTTTTATTATCCCATTCAAGGATTAGTTTCATTACTTTCAACTTCTTGGCCCTTTCATTTTAGGCAATAGAAGAAGGGTTCCCATTTAGAGGCCACAAAAGATTAGCAGAAATAGTCTGCCTTCAGGAAATATCTCAACAGCTTTTTTTTTTTTTTGACAGACAAAGTGCAACTTTTCACTATAGGCCACCTGAGAGACCTGACTAGGCTTTCATGGCCTTTGAAAAAATAAATTTAAGTTGGCCCAGCACCAGAGAAAATCCCAGCTTAGTCCAGCAATGAGGAAGAACCCCTCAGCACGGCGGAAGGGTTAAATAAGACTTAATTTTCCAGCAAGTGCTCCTCTGAATTATTCTTTACTGAGGCTTTATTTTTAAATCAAATTTGTTTGAAAAATTCTTTTTTGAGTCTACTTTGCACAATAAAGATATTCTTGCTCAAGATTTCTTCTATTCTTCAGATTACAGGTTAGTTCTTGTGCTGGCTTTTATCCATCAATCACTCGAGCATTCCCCTTCCGCCTGCATGCATGCATGTGACTGTATACCGCCGCGGATGAGCAAGACAATCGGAGAGGACCTGCATGATTCTGCATCTTCTCCGCCATGCAAACGACGAAGAAGAAGCAAGTGTCGTCGTATGCACCTTTTACTGCTGGTTGGACATCGTGAGTCCCCCCCCCGGATACACGTTAGATCAGTATAGAGACGCAACCGGAACTCGGACCCAACGTCGGAACGCGGTTCCCACTTTCTCGGCCATTAGTTACAGGGATTGCGGCTTCGGCACTCTGCCCCCGCCCGTATCGTCCGTCCGGAAACGAAATAACGCCGCGACTTTCGCCCTTCGCTCTCTCTCTCTCTCTCTCTCTCTCCCCATCCCTCCCAATCTCTCCCTCACGCTTGTCCCTCGTGGTCTCCGAGTTGCCTTGGAGGAGGCGCCGGGCCCTTTCATTTTCACGGCGTCCCCCGCTCGCTCTCTTCCGCCATGCAGCGAAGGGCCACCGCCACTACCAGCACTGAACTGCCCGTCGTCGTCTTCCCCTCGCGGTCTGTTCATTTCACAAGCTGAGCCGAGGCGGCTCTCAGTTATACTGCGTGGATGGGGGAAAAGGTAACAGGAGAGCTTCTGCGGAGTGGATCACGATTTGGGGTCCACAACTTGACCGCAGGGATTATGCAAGTACAGCACTGTACTGTGCATATATAAACATGGATGGGTCTGGACTCTCTGCTGGAGACGTTTTGAGACTTATATGCATTGGGGAGTTTTTTTTTTTTTAATTTGGAGAGAAGTATTGATTGCATACAATTTTGTTGAGGAGGGCAATATAATTCAGAATGATGTCTACCTTATTCAATTATTATTTTTATTATTCTCTTTCTCTGATGGAGACGTTTTGACACTTACGCATTGGGGAGTTTTTTTTTCAATTTTGAGAAAATTTTTTCAATTGCATGTAATTTTGTTGAGGAGGGCAAGATAATTCATAATGATGTCTACCTTATTCAATTATTATTTTTATTATTAACCCTTAAGCTGTGGTCCCAGGCTATTTCCGCAGGAATTTCCCGCTAGACATTGTTAGAGTAAAAAAAAATATTGCACTGGCAAATTTGTCTGTATATACAGTACAGAATTTTTTTCTTTCTGTGCAAAAAAGGTGTTTGTGAGAGACAATTCTTGAAAATAAGTAATTCTGATCTGCGGCTTCAGTGATGTCAAGTGCCTGAGTCTCACGAGTCAAGATTTATGACCAAGACCTTCTGAGACTAACATGTTTTAGCATTGTTCCTTAGAAATACTATATGGAGGAGCACTAACAAAAATATAAAGATCGTTTGATTTCTCAAATATTTCGCGCTTCAGTTTAAAGTTCTTTTTTCACCTGTCTACCTTGATGCCTGTTATTTCCAGGTCTTCTAACATTTTTTATCATGGAATATTCTGCCACTTTCATACCATTATTGCAGTGGTTCAGTTGATATTTTGAATTTGTACGTTCCATCGCGGGTATTTTGACCAAAGAATACGTTTTATGGTACTCTAAGTATATACTCCAAAAGCCATGGTCCAAGTTACAACTTTTGTATTTATCTGTTGCCTTGGATAGTGTACAATTTTTGACCATAAGAAGGGTGAAGGAGCATTCTCCTCTAGCATTAAAAGTTTATGGGAGATCTCTCTGAAGTGAATAAAAATTCTGCGTACCATCCGATATACATGCGGCTATTTTGACTTCGTCCGCGACCTTCTTTGGAGAAAATTCTTTCGGGAAATTATTCATAAGAGTGGATGTTGAATGATTTTTTCTTTTCTGAGTCAAAAATATATACTTGAGCGAAAATGGGTCCTCCTTTCCGCGTAAGTTTTAGTTACTGTTCGAAAAAAGGAAGAAAATTAAACTTGATTTAAAAAAACTGCTTCAGGAATGTCCTTTAATATAAACAAATTTCTGTCAATATTTACATTTCTAGGATATCTATAATTTTTGATCCTGATATAACTTTTGTTGACCA